GCGCAGTCTCTAGGGCCGCGCGGCCTTGGCAACGGACGCGCGCCAGGCCCGGCCCAGCCCCTCCGGCCTCTCTAGCTGCGCAGGAGGATAGGCGTGCGCGGCCTCGGTGGCTGCTTGAACCAGAGCTGCTCCGTCCGCCCCAAGCACCCCAAGAAGCTGCGCATCGCTGCCCAGAGACCCAGCTGTTCTGTGCGAAAAAGGAGCGATCGTTTCTAAAGAAAGCGTCGGAAGAGACATGTTTAAAGTAACACCCACCAGGAAAATAACACTTCACATTAACCTGGAGAACGAATTTGGTTCCCTTCATCCCTTCATTCCGGTTCCCTGCCCAGCCTTGGGTAATCTTGAAAATGCTGCCACGTGGGGAAACTGTGTCCTTTCACATTTTCTGTGCACTTAGTTCACAGAAACTGAGCCAAAGCTGTGAAGTGGCTAGGTCTTTAAACTAGGATGCTGCAGCCTCCCCCCCCCCCCCGCCTCCTCCCCCCAGGCGATGTAGGAGAGAAGCCTGTGGTTCTCACCGGTGGTGATCCTCCCGGATGCCTCATGAGAATCAGATGCTGCTGTGTCTGAGATCTGGATTTCCTCCTCCTCCCAGATTGAAGGAACCCCAGCTAGGACATTGTCCCTAATTTGCCTTCCATGGCCACATCAGGGGGGCTAGAAACTCTTTAAGAACCCTCTCAATCCTGAACCCCAGCTCGAGTTGGTCTCCGGGTGGGCAGAATTCAGAAAGCAGAGGTTCTATCTCTAAACACTGTCCCTTAGAACAGACCCACGAAAACATAGGGATAAATTAGAGATACCGCTGACCTTGGGAGTTTACTGAGGACCTGGGTGGGTCCTAGGCCTTACAAAAGGAAGGTGATGACTGATCCTTTCACAGCCTGTAGAGTGCAGGACAGTAATTGGAGCCAAGAGGCCCTGTGGAGGTCCAGAGTTCAGGGTTTGACTGCTCTTTGGGAGCGCTGGCAACCAAGGAGCCTTCAATCCACTTGAGTATCAAAGTCTCTGAGAGGATTTAGGACAGGAAGTATTGTCAACCAACCCCTCTGAGAACTGACCAAGGGGAGGCAACCATGTGGTAGCCTTTGAAGAGTATCGTTCCATCTTCCAGAGCCGCTAGTTCATCCCACCCCTCTATACTGGTGAGAGATTGGACAACATTCAGGTCACAGAGAAAGCAGGTCCAAGAAGATGTAACCACCAATTCCCAACTTCAAGAAAGATCTCTAGATCCATAGCCTCCCCAGGGAAAGAATGCAGAGGCCAACCTGGAGCCTTGAGAGGTCAACAGAGTAGGGCCACTAACCTAACTCACTCCCCCATCCCCAAGATATGCCAGAAACAGTGAAGAGTCATTCATGAAAAAGGTAACTACTTAAGTATGGAAAAAGAACAGCACAGCAAAGAAAATGTTTCTAACACAAAAGCCTGGCAGGGGAGGCTTTCAAAGTGAGCAGTTTCTGAGGCAATGAATGAGATAACCATGGCTGTGACTCACCCCAGGAAAGAGAAGCCACAAAGCAAAGTGACTTCCAGGCCTTACCTCCCCCAACTGGGAGGCAAGCATTCCCTGAGACAAAGACCAGAGGATGCCAAGAGCCCAGGATGTGGGTCAGGTTTGGAGAAGTGCCTAGATTTGGGTACCAGGGTAAAGAGCAGGAATCATGCAGAGGACAGACAAGCTTCGTCGATAGATACAAGACAAGGTGTCGACTCCATCTGAATCACAGATAAAACAGTCTTTATCATAAAGTTATGGCAGATGGTCTTTCCATTCTTTTACTTGAAATTCGAAACTGAATAGCCTGCAGTTTGTTCTCTAAGCCTGCAAGCCCTGTCTGTGGAGCAGAGCACATCACAGAAGCAGGCATCTCCCACAAGTGGTAAGCCTCTCCTGTCAGTGCTGCCTCCACTCCTCCGGTCAGGAGTCAAAGCAAGGAACCCACTACTAACATCCAGCCCCGGATGCTGGCACCTCCATTGTTGAGCTTCCTGTCAGTCTGGTGGAAGCTGGAGGGAGGCTCAGGGAGGGAGGGAGCTGGGGAGAGGCACTGTCTGGAGGTTTTCAGGACTTTGACGGGGTTGGGGTCTGGGTCCCATCACCCCCAAAGGCCTCTGAGATTATAATAATCATCCCGGTTTCCCGACATCTTTAAGCTCTGCTGACCACAGCTTCTCTTCAGGGAGCAGGAAAGCTCTCCTTTGTGGGTACACAGAGTTAGGGTCAAAAGCCCCACTAGGAAAGGGAATCTGGGGGTATCACAAGCCCTGCCCACTTCTGAGGGGGAGGAGCCAGGTAGAAGCTCCCAGCCTTCCTAGGGAAACTGATGTGTAGGGATGGGGGCAGCTCAGCGGTCAATTCTAGCATGTGTGAGGCTCCAGGTTCCATGACCAGCACTGCAGAACAAGGGGAGTAGGAGGGCTTTGCAGGTGACTCGGGAAGCCTCTACTTACTCCTGCCATCCACCTTCCTCTCAAAGCAAGGTATATTTTATATATTTGCTTTATTCTTTACTATGTCATTTATGTGTTTAGTGTTTATATGTCTTTCCTTTACTAGGGTATAATTCACAAATATAAGTTTTATATATATATATATATATATATATATATATATATATATATATAGCTTTGTAGCATACAATATGACATTTTGGTATTTGTATCTATGGTAAAATGTTTAAATTTAGGTGATTATCGTGTCGTTGCCTCCAATATGTGTCATTTTATGATGAGACTATTTAAGATCTATTCTCTCAGCAGTAATTTGGTATGCAATGTGTGTTGTTATGATCCATGGCCACTCTACTGTAAACATGAAATGTCTTTTCACCCTATGCAGCTGAAAGTCAGCTGACTCATACAGCCTCTACCAGTACCCTTCACTCTCTCTCATTCTATGAGTTCAACTTTAGATTCTACATGTGAGTGAGATCATGTGGCATTTGTCCTCTGTGCCTGGCTTATTTTACTTAACATAATGCCCTCTAGGTTTATACTCCTTGTTGATTTCCTTGTTTTATGGCAGAATATTCCTCTGTGTATATTATATTTTGCTTATCCATTCATCTATCAATAGCGACGTATGTTGATTACTGTCCTAGTTAGCTTCAATTGTAAAGTTGATACAACCTACAATAATTACAAAGGGAACCTCAATTGAAGAATTCCCTGGATCAGATTGGCCTGTGGGTCTATGTAGAATTCTCTTGATGATTGATTGACGCAGTACAGAGCAACGCAGTGTAGGCAAAACTGTCCTAGGCTGTATAAGAAAGTTAGCTGAGCCAGATATGGTTGCTCACGTCTTTGATCCCAGTACTTGGGAGGGAGGGAGGCAGAAGCAGGAGGATTCCTGTGAGTTCGAGGCTCCCTGGTTATATGGCGAGCTCCAGGACACATCCAGGACTACATATATATATATATATATATATATATATATATATATATATATA